AGCAAATAGCTCCACTTCGAGCACCCTCAAGTCACCAGGGCCTGGCCTCTCAGCCACTATCACTTTTACACTTTTGAGGGTTCTCTCTTTTTCATCACTTAAGGCATCTCTCTTGTCTCTGAGAAGTGGACAAGGCAGGGAACACGTGCCCCATTTCACAGCCAAGGAGACTCAGGCCCAGAAAGGTGCTGACACCCCTTGCTGTGGTCCTCTGAGCCCCCAGTGCAAAGAGGGTGGTGGGTGGGGCTGGGGGCAACTCCACCCACTTCCCAGCAGAGTCAGCATAGAAGGAGCTCCAAAACTTGAAGACAGGAAGGCAGGCAGGCCTGGGAAGGACTGAGATTAAACTTTTAGACCAAGAGAACTGAGTGTAAAACTTAGATTGAGGACCAAAGAAAGACTATGTGGAGGACCCCACTGGAAGTACCCTGCAAAGGAGTGACCCAGGGCAGTTGTGGATTGAGCCAAGGAGACTGGACTTAGAAATGAAAGAACCCGGATGTGAAGTGTCTGCGGAGCCTGGGAGGGTCCATTAGCAGGAAGCATGGTGAGGTATCCAGCTAAGAAAAGGAAAGGATTGGAAAGTGCCCCAGATATAGGGAACTCACTCTCCACTCTCCTCTCTTCACTGCGTAGAGCTGGGAAGCCAAGTGCTTCCATCTCAACAGCCAGGATTTCTGGGCCAGGCAGAGCCATGTTTAGACCTTGGCTTTGCAACTTGCCAGCTGTCTAAGAAACAGGGGGAAGGTTATTCAGGCTTCTCATCTACAAAGCGGGGACAATAAGACCTTTCTGCAGGATGTGAGGATTCTTGGTCTTGAATGTCTATTTGGAGAATTCATGTCTACAAAACGCCCGCCACATTGTAGGTCATAATTCACTGCAATTGCTATTCAATGCTATCGGTTCCTGAACACATTGCTAGGGGCGCGGGAGGTCAAGGAAAAGAGAAGGTAGGAAAAGCTAAGACCCTGGAAGAAGAAATTCTACCTCCTCCCTCCTTTGATTTCTGTGATGTAAAGGCCCAAAGTGACCCAGGACCAGGAAATCCAACTGTGTCAGGGAAGCCAGTGATGGCCCAGTGTCAAGATTTAACAGTTGCTTTTACAAACATGCATTGAGTCCCAGTTATGTGCATTGCACTCTTAATGCTGGGGACAGAGACACAGATCCAGATGGACCATGGGGAACAGAATGACAACTGGGCACTGGGCTTAAAGGTCCTGATCATTGGACTGTACACCTAAAATGGGGGGATTTCACGGCATGTAAATTACACCTTATTACAGCTGGATCATTACCAGCCATGAGGCCTTGAGTAAGGCAGGGACTTCCTCCCTCAGTCTCAGTTGTTTTCCTGCTGAAATCTGACACTGCCCTCTACAACAGCTCCCTTAAATGACCTCACAGTTCATCCTCAGGTCCCATTTAAAAGCAAAACAAGGTACACAAAAGTGCTATGTAAACTGGAAAGGATGCAGAGAGCCCCATCATAGTTTCTCTCTGATAAATGCAGAAACTCGAAAGAGGGAGACCCCAGGGAGCTAGAAAGGTTGGGAAGGTTCTTGGAGGAGGTGGGTTTGAGTGAGATCCTGGAGTATCAAGAGGATTTAGATGGGCAAGGAGGAGGGAGAAGAGGGAAAAAAAGGAGGAGGGAGAGGAAAAGGAGGAGGAAAAGGTGGAGGAGGAAGAAAAGAAGGAGGAGATGCAGGAAGAAAAGGAGGAGAAGGAGGAGAAAGAGGAGGAAGAGGAGAAGAAGAGGAGGAGGAGGAAGAGGAAAAGCAGGAGAAGGAGGACAAGGAAGAAGAGGAGGAGGAGGAAGAGGGAAAAAGGAGGACGAGAAGGAAGAAAAGAAGGAGACATTAAAGGAAGAGAAGGAAGAGGAGGAGGAGGAAAGGGAGGAGGAGAATGAGGAAGAAGATGGGAGAAGGAAGAAGAGAAGAGAAAGGGGAAGAGGAGAAGGAAGAGGAAGAGGGAATGGGGAGGAGGATGAGGAGGAGGATGATGCTGTAGGTGGAGGAGTCTCTGGAGCACAGCTGTGACAGTGGTGAAGGTGAGCTGTGCTTCCAGGGCAGTGACAAGATGCGCCCCATTTCACTGGATGCTTCACCCACGCCAAGACCATGTAGGACCCACTAGTTAAACAATTAAACATTTCCAGAACATCACGCTTTGATTTCTCTTGAAACACAGGCAGACCTTGTCAGCCTGGGCCCACCTTCTAGCCTGGCAAAAATGAACTAGACCTGCCATAATCCCTAATACTCCCCAACACTGCAGTCTCTCCACCCTGAAACTGCAGCCTCTACTCCCCCCACACACACTGCAGCCTCTCCTCCTCCCCCACACTGTAGCCTCTCCTCCTCCTCACACTGCAGCCTCTCCTCCTCCCCCACACTGTAGCCTCTCCTCCTCCTCACACTGCAGCCTCTCCTCCTCCCCCACACTGTAGCCTCTCCTCCTCCTCACACTGCAGCCTCTCCTCCTCCCTTACGCTGCAGCCTCTCCTCCTCCCCTACGCTGCAGCCTCTGCTCCTCCCCGACGCTGCAGCCTCTCCTCCTCCCCCACGCTGCAGCCTCTCCTCCTCCTCACACTGCAGCCTCTCCTCCTCCCCCACGCTGCAGCCTCTGCTCCTCCCCCACGCTGCAGCCTCTCCTCCTCCCCCACGCTGCAGCCTCTGCTCCTCCCCCACGCTGCAGCCTCTCCTCCTCCCCCACGCTGCAGCCTCTCCTCCTCCCCCACGCTGCAGCCTCTCCTCCTCCCCGACGCTGCAGCCTCTCCTCCTCCCTTAGGCTGCAGCCTCTCCTCCTCCCCTACGCTGCAGCCTCTGCTCCTCCCCCACACTGCAGCCTCTCCTCCTCCCCACACTGCAGCCTCTCCTCCTCCCCACACTGCAGCCTCTCCTCCTCCCCACACTGCAGCCTCTCCTCCTCCCTCACACTGCAGCCTCTCCTCCTCCCTCACACTGCAGCCTCTCCTCCTCCCCCACACTGCAGCCTCTGCTCCTCCCCGACACTGCAGCCTCTCCTCCTCCCCCACACTGCGGCCTCTCCTCCTCCCCGACACTGCGGCCTCTCCTCCTCCCCCACACTGCAGCCTCTCCTCCTCCCCCACACTGCGGCCTCTCCTCCTTGCCATTGCTCACTGGTCCCTGCAGCCATTTGCTCTGTGCCCTCTGGCATGGGTGGCAGTGGGAGAGCAGACAGGCAGGACAGGATAGGAAAGCAGTGGGAAGCACACTAGCTCTGGGATCAGAAAGTCTGAGATGGAAATGCTGGTCCATCACCTCCTGGCCCTGTGACTGAGGGCTAGCTATGGAAGCTTCCTAAATCTCAGCGTGCTTGTCAATAAAATAGGGAAAACGTGACTCCCTTGGAGAGCCACTGTTTTCAAAAGATGCCCATATGAGATACACTGGGCACAGTAGGTGACACACAGTAGGTGCTCACAATGGTATTATCAGAGCTGATGGCAGACTAAGGAGGATTTGATGAACCCAGTGGGCCTTGGGGAGCCACTGTGGGCTTTGAGCAGGGAGGCGATGTGGGAGAAGTACATTTCATGAAAGGTGTCTCTGATGGTGTGTGCAGCAGGAAGAGATGGTGGGGGAAGGGGACAAGTTTGTCAGGGGTGAAGAAAGGGAGTTGGGTTTCTAGGTTCTATCATTTGTGGCCCACAGCACAAGCACAATGGAGGCCCACATGTTTTTGCATTTTTGCCATCATAGTTAAGATAGCAAATGGGCTGGCATGCCATAGTCCCAGCACTTTGGGAAAACAAGGCAGGAGGATCATTTGAGTCCAGGAGTTCAAGACCAGCCTAGGCAACATAGCAAGACCTTATCTCTACAAAAATAATAATTTTTTAAAAAACTGGCCAGATGTGGTAGCTCATGACTGTAATCCCAGCACTTGGGGAGGCTGAGGCAGGAGGATCACCTGAGGTCAGGAGTTTGAGACCAACCTAGTCAACATGGTGAAGCCCTGTCTCTACTAAAAATACAAAAAATTAGCTGGGCATGGTGGCGTGTGCCTGAACCCAGGAGGCGGAGGTTGCAGTGAGCCGAGATCGCGTCATTGCACTCCAGCCTGGGTGACAAGAGCGAAACTCTGTCTCAAAAAACAAAAAAACAAAAAAACAAAAATGAGCCAGGCATGGTGGTGTATGCCTGTAATCCCAGCTACTCAGGAGCCTGAGGCAGGAGAATCTCTTGAACCCAGGAGTTGGAGGTTGCAGTGAGCTGAGATCATGCCGCTGAACTCCAGCCTGAATGACAAAGTAAGACTCTGTCACCAAAACAACAACAAAAAAAGCAGTGGGGCATGGTGGTGTGCGCCTGTAGTCTTAACTACTTGAGAGGCTGAGACAGGAGGATAATTTAAGCCCAGGAGTTCAAGGCTGCCATGATCACACCACTGCCCTCCAGCTGGGGCAACAGAGCCAGACCCCAACTTGAAAAAAAAAAGTTACAAATGAAACCAACAGATTGTTCAGTGATACATGTTCTTTTGCCTAAATGAGTAAGTCTTTGTAACAGCCTAAAAGGCTAGGTTCAAGTTTGGAATTTTCTGACTCCAGGACTCCACCATGGGAATGACACCAGAAGAGCCCTTCTCTACTCCCGGCCTGAGCCCCTTGTTCTGCCCCCACCTCAAGCTCTTGCAGGCTCCAGTGCATTCACGCAAGCTGTGACCACCAGGCTCCCATTAGTCACCACTGGGGTGAATTCTCACATCTAGAAGAGTGTCCACTGAGTCTGCCTCTACCCCAGGAGGTTTACCCAGGGAGAGACCTGTGCAGGCCCTGGAAGTGGGTACATGCCACTGGGGCAGAAAATTCCAGACTCCTGTAGGGCAAGACTTAAGAGAGAGTATGAGCTGGGAAAGGCAAGTGCACTTGGGGATATGGGGGATGACTCCTGGGTCCTTGGGGAGGGACGTGCAGGAGGAAGACCCCATCAGGAGGGGCCTTGGGGGGAGGCACATGGGCCTGGCGGTACCTTTGGCGAGGGAGATGTTCCGCAGCGCGATGGAGTGCTCCCAGTCCTTGAGGCGCAGGTCCTCGGTGACTGCGTTGAGCATGGCCAGCTCCTGCTTCAGCTGCAGCTCCATGCCCACGTGCGCCAGGCGCAGGCGACGCGTGTCCTCACTGGCGTTGCTCACCAGCACCCGCAGGTCCTGCAGCCGAGTGCGGTGGAGGGCCACATCGTAGGACAGGCTGTGGTTGAGGCCGCGCAGCACGCCACCCACGTCAGCCAGCTCCTCGCCCAGGACGCCCACCCTGCGCGCCAGCCCGTCCAGCAGGCCCGCGTGGCGCCGCAGCAACAGCTGGCTGCTGTTGCTCTCCACCTGCAACTGGTACAGCTCCAGCTGCGCCGCGTCGCTCTGCTGGCCCGTGCGGTCACGCAGCAGGGCCACCGCCTGCTCCGTCTGCACCGCCTGCGCCTGCAGCCCCCACAGCGCGCCCTCCAGCCGCTGCACCGCGCCCGCCAGCGCCAGCAGCGAGTCCGACTGGTTCTGCAGCGTGTCCTGCACCTTCCACACCTGCTCCGTCAGGTCCGCCTGCAGTGGAGCCTGCAGCAGCCGCAGCTGCAAGTCCCGGAAGCTCTCATTCAGCCGGTTCACGTTGCGGGTCAGGGCCTTCAGGTCGTCAGGAGAGCTGCGCGGCCTGGACACTGCGAAGGAGGCGGAGAAGGGGAGACGTGAGCACTGCTGTGGAGGAAGGCCCCGGTAACAAGAAGGGAACCCAGCCAGAGCCTGGCATGCAGTAGGTGCTCCATAAATGACAGACGAATGAAAAGCAGAGGTGGTGAACCGAGCGCTTCACTAGATCTTAGGCGTTGTGCTAAGCCAGTGGTCCCCAAACCTGCCTGCATATTACATCACCTGGCTAGGTGTCTCATCTGCAGAAATGGTGACTGAACTGCTATGGGGTCACACCCATACCAAGTCTTCATACATAGAAGAAACTGTCATGAAATTATCGAGTGGTTAATTCAGTGGACCCCTATGAACCTGCCAGTTTTGAATGCTGAAAAGCAGCATTATCAGCAGTTTCATGTAGATCAGCTTAAGATGTTGGGTGGTGTTATCCTCTCAACTTTAGGAGGTGGGTACCTGCCACAATCTGAATATGCCCCTCCCCCCCAAAATTCGTATGTGGAAACTTAATCCCCAAAGCCATGGTAAGAGAGGTCTTTAGGAGGCGATTAAGTCACAAGGGCAGAGCCCTCACGTATGAGATTAGTGACTTTATAAAAGAGGTTCAAGGGAGCTGTTCATCCTTCCTGACATGTGGACACATAGAAGGTGCCATCCATGAGAAACAGGTCCTCACGAGACATGAATCTGCGGGCACCTTTATCTTGGACTTCCCAGCCTCCAGAACCATGAGCAATACATTTGTTGTTTATAAATTACCCAGTCTACAGTATTTTGTTCTAGCAGCCTGAACAGACTAAGACAGTACAATTCTTATCCCCCTTTATAGTTAGAGTTATTAGTATTGCCAGTATTGCCAAGGGTAACAATTTACAGCAAGTAAATCCTATCCAAGAGGGCTTGCTCCAGAGCCTGCAGTCTTCCCCCTAAGTCAGCTTTAGGACTATCTAAAGGAAAACCACCTCAGCAGTAGATTCAGTCAGGCTCAGGGCCACCGTGTCTATTTTCTGGCCTCCTGAGTTCAGGATCCCATTTTCTTCTGCCCACGTGCTGTGCCAACAGCCTGTCTGGGTGTTCTCGGAGTGTTCTCATGACTTCTGAAAAGCTGCAGTGTCTCTTGATGCTTCAGGGGCACCATGAAAAGAAACTGACATGAAATTATCAAGCTTTCCATTTTCCAACAGCTGTGTCTCAATACTTGTCACCCAATCAGAGTCCATGATTGGACAGACACAATCCAATGAAGACTGCTTTTATATTGATATGCTCCTTCTCTGTGTATTCTACTTCTTCTAGGTCCCCTCCTCTTCAGCAAAAAAACCCATCCCAGTGATCCCCCACCCCCTCCTCCTAGAGAAGTTCCTTTTTCTTGGTTATAAGCAGCTATTGTGCCATATTAGGAGGAATGATGTGTGTTTTCATCATTAGAATCTAGCATCCCTGTGTCTCCTGGGAGGTTGTGGACTGCACTGACTCAGGTATGCTACAAACCCTGAGTGGGGCTGTCTAGCGATGCTCATTGTCTGTTAGCTGTGTCCTGTCCACAGCCGCTCCCCACTCTGCTCTGCATACCAGAGAAAGGGAAATTGGGCCTGGTGGTAGAGTAGGTAGGAGGTGGAATAGATGAGACACAGAACACATTATGCCTTGGACATCTTGGAGGTAACTGGGGATCTTGGTACACAGCTTGTTCAAACATGTGAAAAGTCAGACAGAATAAAAGTTCTCTTCCAGAACTTCACATTGAGAAGGAGGGATATAGGTGGCAAGGTTTCTCGAGCCATGGGAAGGCCAGCTGTTACAATCTTCCAGTGAGGCTTCTGGAAGCACATAGCATTTATGGTGGCCACCCTGGAGGAGCTAAGTCATTTCAGCTTAGGCTCAGAGGCTCACAGGGCTGAAGGGGTCTTGGAGCCCTGCCTTGCCTTCTCTTCCACCCAGCACTTTAATCTAAGAAGATCACATTGCAAAGGGGTCTCTGCATCCCTGTTTACACCAGTCTCTCTATCTTCAGACAGTGCTGTCAGAACTTTCTCTATTCTGTTCAGACTTGAAATTTGCCTCCCTGCAGTTCTGTCCACTGATACCATTCTTTGTTGCCACATGGAGCTAGTAACATATTTTTTGGTTTCACACAAGATAGCCCTTCAGAATTTCAAAGACAAGTACCATATCCCTGCTATAGGATGACTTTTCCAGCTTAAAATCTGCAGTTCCTTCTTTTACATGCTCATGACAAGGTCCTAAGCCTCTATACATCCTGGCTATCCTCTTTGTACAGACTGTTTGTCACATCCCCTTAAAAAGTGATCCTTGAACAAAATGAAGTTTTTCAAGGTATGAACAGACTGGACAAAGTATGAAGGAAGGGGCATCTCTTTCATGCTGGCTATGAGACTTCTAGTAAGAAAGACAGATGAAGAGGCTCCCTGGGCAGCTTCATCAGGGCTTAGCAGACTTGAGTCACTGGATCTATGCTGTCTTTGGCAAACTGGATCTCGCTCCCATTTTGGAGATGAAAAGACTGAGGCAAGAGGAGCATGAGTGACCTGCCTAATGTCATGCCTCCTGCCCCCTGCCCCCTGCTTCAGGAGTTCACGCCACTGCTCTGCTCCGTAAGGTTAACTGGCGTGTGGTCAAACAAGCAAGAGCTCTGGGGAAATGAATCCACGACCCACAGGAATTGCCCACTGGAGAAAGCAGCAGCAGCCAGGATCTGATTCTAGAACCAGTGTGTCTGTCCATTTGTGGGTGATAAGTATTGAAAGAGGGCTGGAGAATGGACAGCTTGATAAGTTCATGTCAATCTCTCCTCATGATGCCCCTAGAGCTCCAAGAGACACCACAGCTTATCGGAAGTTGTGAGAACACTCCAAGTTTTGTTAAGTTCTGGTTTTCAAAATGGGCTCTTGAGTGACTAAGAGGAACAGTGTAAACTCCCAGATTCAAGCCACATTTGCCCAGGGACAAGACCCTGAAGTGGACAGTTTTCTTCCTTACCTGTCTTCCCAGCTCTCCTAGCCCCTCCTTCCCTCTGTAGGGGTCCTTAAGCCCAGCTGGTCCTCTGCACCCTGGGAGGTCCCCAGCCCTGCCCATCTGCTGCCTTCTCACCTACCAGCTCTGGAGTCTGCTCCCTGAGCAGAAAACTGGACTGAAACTTGGTCCATATGGGGACGGCTGACAATCAACCACCCCTTCCCAGAGTTCATTTGGGTCTCTTACTGCTGTTCATTGCACAACAAATAGTCACAAACCTAAATAAAACAAAGGAAATTCTTCCACTGTCCCACAACAGAGCACACTGTGGCCTTTTCATTCTGTTTTTCTAGCTCTGTTCATGTGCGTACCCAATCTTTTATATTTGATTTCTGGGGTTTTTCCTACCCAATAATATTATTATATTGTAATATAAGCATTTTTAATCTTCTGTTTTATAATTATAAGTGCTTTTTATAAGCGTTTTTTATTCTCTTTTGTTTTATAATTATAATTTTGATGATTGCCTATGAGTCCCTCAAGGGGACACATTAATTTACCCATTCTCTTACTGTTGAATTATTTTTTTAACTATGGTAAATAAATGCAGAAAGATTCCTCCTACCACTTTGAAATTCTTCCTAATAATACATTTCCAGAAGCTGGATTAGTAGGTTAAAAGGCATGGACATTTTATGACTCTTAAAAATTCCAGCCAGGCCAGGCAAGGTGGCTCAAGCCTGTAATCCCAGCACTTTGGGAGGCTGAGGCGGGTGGGTCACGAGGTCAAGAGATCGAGACCATCCTGGCCAACATGGTGAAACCCCATCTCTACTAAAAATACAAAAAAAATTAGCTGGGCGTGGTGGCATGCATCTGTAGTCCCAGCTTCTCGGGAGGCTGAGGCAGGAGAATTGCTTGAACCCGGGAGGCGGAGGTTGTACTCAGCCAAGATTGTGTCACTGCACTCCAGCCTGGTGCCTGGCGACAGAGTGAGACTCTGTCTCAAAAAAAAAAAAAAAAAAAAATTCCAGCCAAACTACTTCTCAAAGAAAAGTTATACTAATTTACATTTACATTACAGATGTTAAAATGTGCCGAGTTGAGTGCAACGTCACTGCCGAGTGTTACAATTTTCATGTTGTGAATTTCACAGATATGACATGGTAACTTGTTATTTTCCCTAGTCTATTTGCATTTTAGAAGTGGCCTTTTCAAAGTGATGTATTAACTCATAGGAATAAGATACTCAGGCACCTGGGCTAATCAGAACAGAAATTATTTGCGGATAGATGTTCTTTGGGCATCAACTCGTCTAGGGCAGCCTCCTTTTTGTAGGGTTATTTGTACATCCCAGAAATGAATTCTGTCCTTCCAGCAGTCACGGCATGTTCTCTGCTCACATACCGCCACCAGCCGCCTCGTCTCTCATTTAATTCCTTCCAGATGTTTGCACTTCTCAACGGGGAATAACTCTTAGTTGAGTGCGACTCTCTTAATTCATGTTTATGCAAACAGCTCATTTATCTCCCTGCCTGGCCAATCCACTTTTAATGTGTTTTAATTATTTTTCAACTTTTATACTTTCACAAATGGGAAAACAAATCATAGAAGAGTGTAATATCATCTGCCTTCCCCTACATGCCAAGCACTGTTCTAAGTGCTTCCCATATTAATACACTTAATCCTATTATAACCCTATAAGCATTATTAGGATCCTCATAGTTCAGATGAGGAAACTAAGGCACACAGAGGTTCAGTAACTCATAAGGTTTCATTGACAGTAGATAGTGGTGACTGACCATGGGCTTTGCAGGTTGGTTCCAGAGTCCCCAGCTCTTGCCCCACTTTGCTAAACTGCTGAAAGGGTGGATGTAGAGAACACACTTTATTTATTGAGACAGAGTTTTCCTCCGTCACCCAGGCTGGAGTGCAGTGGTATGATCTCAGCTCACTGCAACCTCCACCATCTGGGTTCAAGCAATTCTCCTGCCTCAGCCTCCTGAGTAGCTGGGACTACAGGCATCCACCACCACTT